AGGTACAACTCCAGAGGCTATTGGGCAAAATTAATTTCTTAAGGAGATTCATTGCCAATTTAGTGGGTAAGATCCAGCCGCTGACTCCTTTATTAAGATTGAAAGATAAAGAAAACTTCGAGTGGGGACCACCACACCAACAAGCCTTTGACAGCATCAAGGCCTATTTAACCTCTCCACCAGTGTTGGTGCCACTTCAAAGGGGAAAACCCTTAAAGTTGTATATTTCTGCCTCAGAGTAGTCAATCGGGAGTTAGCTAGCTCAAAATAATGAAGGCGGGAAGGAGCAGGCAGTGTACTACCTCAGTAGGATTCTAACCAAGGTAGAAACTAGATATTCCCCAGTGGAGAGATTATGATTGGCTCTATATTTTACTGCCAACAAGCTAAGGCATTACATGTTACCTTGTCACGTGCACATCATCGCCAAAACAAATGTGATAAAGTACATGTTTTCAAAGCCAATGCTAACATGGAGGATTGGGAAGTGGATTCTAGCATTATCAGAGTTCAGTTTCCAGTATGTACCCCAGAGGGCCGTCAAAGGCCAAGCAATTGCTGACTTCCTGGCCGAGCATCAAGAAACTCAAGACGAGGTGATCAATATCCCCAGAAGCTTGGAGGTCACTAGCATTTGGATCCCGCCGAGAAAAGATATCTCGGGCAAAGAAGATTGGGTCCAACAGGAGATAAGAAGAGTGACTGGTCTCTGGATCACTCCGTGGAAGTTGTATTTCGATGAATCTCATACTCAGAAGGCTTCAGGAGCAGGGATCGTGATTGTAAACCCTCAAGGGGTCTATCATTATTATTCATTCCTCCTAGACTACCAAGGAAATACTAATAATCGGGCATAGTATGAGGCTTTGATAATTGGCCTGGAAATTTTGATGGATCTGGGGGCAGTAGAGGTGGAGATCTTTGGAAATTCAAAGTTGGTAATAAACCAGCTAAATGGGGAGTTCAAGTGCAGACATATTACCATGGCAGGATATTACTTGGCGGCTACGCAATTACTGAGTTTCTGGGATTCTGAGATATCAGTCAATCATGTTCCCAGGAGATCCAACTTAGCAGCCAACGAGATGGCACAACTAGCCTCAGGAGTGCCAATACAGGAGAGAAGATATGGGGTAGATGTCGAGCTCCAAAGAAGAAACCTCCCTTCTATCTTAGAAAGGGGATTCAGCCTGGATGTAATGGCTCTAGAAACCGAAATAGAAGATTGGAGGTCCCCTATCATTCATCATTTGAAGGATCCCTCTTCGCCTACAAGCAAGAAGAATAGACAGCAAGCAACCAAGTATGTCTTGTGGGCGAAGAACATGCTAAGGAAAACTCCAGATGGATTACTATTGAAATGCTTGGGCCAAGAAGGATCCATGAGGGTAATGGCCGAAGTACATGAAGGGGTATGTGGAGCACACCAGGCAGGAACTAAGATGAGGTGGTTGCTTAGAAGATATGGTTATTTCTGGCCCGACATGGAAAAAGATTGCAAGTCTTATGCCAAAGGTTATAAAGAATGTCAGAGGCACGAACCTCTCCAACATGTGCCTTCAGTACCTTTGAATTCAGTGGTCAAGCCTTGGCCGTTCAGAGAGTGGGCGATGGACTTCATCGGGCAAATCTATCCAGCTTCTAGTAAAGGGCATACTTTCATAATTGTGGCAACGGATTATTTCACCAAGTTGGTGGAAGCATCAGCAGTAAAATCTATAACTTCAGCCGCAGTCAAGAATTTCATCGAGACCAAGATTCTGCACAGATATGAGGTGCCCGAGACTATAGTAACAGATCGTGGGCCATCTTTTATTTCGAAAGAAGTTGAGGAGTTTGCAAGCAAATACAAAATAAGGATGATCCAGTCCAGTCGTACTATCCTCAATCAAATGGCCAGGCAGAGGCCAGCAACAAGATCCTGGTCAACATTATCAAAAGAATGGTGATGGATAATCCAGAAAAGTGGCATGAAAATCTGGGGAACACTTTGTGGGCATACAAAACTTCCAAGAGGGCAGGAACAGGGATAACTCCTTATGCTTTAACTTTCGGGCAAGATGCAGTGCTCCCCATGGAGATCAATGTTAGTTCGGTCAGAATTCAAAACCAATTTGGGTTACATAGTGAAGAATACATCGAAGCCATGTGTCAAGGAATTGAAGACTTGGATGTAGCCCGAATTGAAGCCTTGAACCAGATTCAAAAAGGAAAGAAAGCAGTTGCCCGAGCTTATAACAAGAAGGTGAAGATAAAGTCTTTCAAAGAAGGAGATTTAGTATGGAAAACAGTCATCCCGCTAGGAGCTCAGCTCAGGGGCTTTGGAAAGTGGAGCCCGACATGGGAATGTCCTTTCATTATTAGTCGAGTTTTGGATAAAGGAGGATACTACCTAGCGGACCTCGAAGGAAATGGGCAGAAACATCCCATTAATGTTCAATTCTTAAAAAAATATTGTCCTACATTATGGGATGTTAGAGACTGTTACATTGAAAAGGGGGCAAAGTAAAGCAGGCGTTGGGAGTTTCATATGCAGTGTTTGTTCATCAACCATTCAAAGAAGACAGAAAGACAAAAGTTGCTGAAATAATATCTATTTCATGTCGACAAATCGATGAAATTAACAAAAGATTCAATTCCTACACATTACATCTGATTCTCTCTGAATATGGTGGTATTTTCAGTTAGTTTTCCGATATCTTCATGAATGGAACCTAATCAGGTGATCGGGTTGTGCGGCCAACATGTGCTTGGTAGAGGATCCTCCGACAGGACCGTCACCATGTGTGATGGTGAAGCCTGACTTATGACGGCAGCAAGCAGGAAAGCAAGCCTTCGTGAGGAAACCGCCTGACCAAGGGTGTTGGAGATAGCGGGATGTTCGACCAAGGGTGTTGGAGATAGCAGTTATTTGATGAAACACCTTTTTTCTAACGAAAATGGAGTTTTAGGAAACTCCACTCAAAGCCTGAGGAACCTATTTCTCAGTTTTTAAAAGAAGACAAGAACGCTCTCGAGGAGGATGGATGAGAAGACCGAAGAGGATTGGATGGCTTGACATAAGGGATTCCAAGCCAGAATTTATAAGGCCACAGAGGACATTTCAAAGGTCGTGGGAAGATCAAGAGACTCCAGGTGCCATTAATTTCATCCAGAAAATACAAGTTCCAAGGGCAAGGATGCAGCCGCATGAAGCTTTTTAATTAATATTGGCACCTGGAATTCCAGGCTAAATATCAATTGAATGGGGCACTGTTTGGATCAAAACTTGACTTTGGGCCCAAGGAAGGGGCTGGCCCAAAAGGATTCCCGAAGGGAAAGTCGGCTAGAGCCCAGCAAATTGGCCGAAGCCCAGCCGAGACCCAGAAAAGCAGAAAAGGCCCTTTCTGACTTGGTGCAGCTCATGAAGACCACTTGCTCACCTACCCAAGGGCCAAGTGGTATAGACTGACCAGCTACACAGCCCATAAAGTACTTTATGGTGGCATTACATGTAAAATAACTGATAAGTCATCTCCCTCAAACCGCATTCGGGCAAGGCTGCTGCTACAGGAGACCAAGCTGGGTTGTCTATAAAAGAAGAAAGAGAAACCAGGAATAAGGACACTCAAACAAACAAACAAAGACACTCAAACAAACAAACAAAGACACTCAAACAAAAAAACAAAAGCACAAACTCTGCTCAAAGCCAGATTTGCCTTCAAAACGAAGTTGTAGTCAGCCCCAGCCTTCACCCCTCTCGGGACAAGCCTTCATCCCTCGCGGGATAACCCTTCCTCTAAGCCTTTGTAATAGCTCTGTTACTCTAGTCAACCTTGTTGTAGTATCGATTCACCTTTTGTAATCTCTCTCCTTCTCGCTAAGCTTTCAACCTTTAACAAAACTACAAAGATAGGAGCTTGCAAGACGAGCAGCCTTGCCTGATAAGGTTTAACCTTGCCCGACCTTCTTTGCTTTGTTTTTGTCTTTTCATTCATTAAGCCTAGCAATATGTTGTATACTTCCAGTTATATGCAAGTTATTTCTAGCAAGATAACTATTAAAAGCTTTCTCAGTACTTGGATCCGATTTGAATATATCTTCAGTATTCAAACCAGATCTAAGTCCTAAGCCCTCGGGCATGCAAATCTGATCAGTTAAAAGTCCTTGGCCTCAAGGCATAAAAAAGAATTTTATGTAGACTTAACCCATCCACGACAATCCTTGATAAACGAGAAGTCCGAAGTTACTTGGGGCGCAAGTGATCGACCTATCTTTTAGTTTTATTTCTATTATATTATGATTATCATAGAACGCTTAAGCATGGAATGGATTCTGATAGGAAACCTCAAGGCCTACACCTAAGGCCCCACAAAGGCACCTATTTGGGTTCATTCCGTTCCACGGTCTAGAACGTTTGAGTATTAGAGAACGAACTCTAATGGGGAGGCTCAAGGCCTCCACCTAAGGCCCCACAAAGACACCTATTTGGGTTCGTCCTATCTCTCGGACTCGGGTAATTAGAAGTATAATAGTTATAAGGCTCCTACAATCACGAGAACAAATATGATATGTTCGAGCATCGGTTTAGTTTGATAGGAAGCCTCAAGGCCTATACCTAAGGCCCCACAAAGGCACCTGTTATTTCTAACACGGTTTCTCGGGTATATACATATTTACAACTAAAACCCAACATCCATTCTACATCTACCATGCTAAAGATGGTAGTGGCACGCCTGAGCACCTAAAAGTTAATCTTGATTGCGAGCCTCAAGGCCTACACCTAAGGCCCCACAAAGGCACCTTTCAAAGTTAACTCTGTCATTCTCTTTCAGTCTTGCCCGACGAGCCTTGCCCGACGAGTCTTGCCCGATAAAGACTTGCCCGACGAGACTTGCCCGACAAAGCCCAACAGTGAAGCAGAAGCCCGACAACAGCCCTCAACCGGCGCCAAACCTCCCGGGGAGCTGTGCGCTCGTCGTCCAGGAAGCACTCCCCAACGGAGATTCCTGACGCGAACAGGAAGATTGTCGTCTTCACGGGGTTGCTCAAGCATTTTAGAAGTGATGCCAAGATAGTGACGATCATTGGTCATGAGGTAGGAAGATTTCATTGTTTGGTATTATTTAGTTCTTTAGTTTTGTGAAAGCAGTTTTTGTGTTCAAGTGTAATTTGATTCGTTTGGTTAATAGTTGTAGAATTGTGTGAAGATAAGATTAAAAAGTTGGTCTTTTTTCCTTGTGCATTGAAACTAGGTTGGCCATGCTGTGGCTCGACATTCTGCAGAGACTATTACAAAGAACTTGTGGTTTGCAATTCTGCAGCTGGTACTTTATCAATTTGTTACGCGCCTGATTTTGTCAACACAACGTCCAATCTTTTCTTGAGGCTTCCTTTCTCCTGAAGGTACATTACAGTTCTTTGTAATTTAGTTTCTAGTCCTTTTTAGTCATAATGTTATGATTTTTCTGAACATCTCTTGTTAGTGCTCTCTTGTTCTGATGATTAATGAGGATGCATGCGTGTTCTGGTTGCAAATAAGGAATGGAGGTCTCTACAGGTTTGATACAATGGTCTGGATTAGTGACGCAGCCACATAGTGCCCAGGGGGCATGTTTCTCCTCTCAAGTTTTCGATGGGCAATTGTAAAGAAGGGAATTGTATTTGACAAAGACCCTTGACACTCCCTATCACAAAAAAAATTTAGTATTGTTGAGCAAGGTTACCGGTGGTGACTCTGCACTCAGAGATTATCTTTCAACCCATCCATCTGGGAAAAAGAGAGCTGAATTGCTGGCTCAAGCTTAAGATCATGGAAGAAGCACTCACCATGCAACCACTAACACAGTCCCACTTTACCTCCCATAGCATTAAGTTTGTCTTATAAATGTAAGACATAATTTGAAAACAAGAAGACATTAGGATCATAAATATAATGAATAGAATTAACATAAAGTAGTTATGAACTCATTATATTGGACTTATCTGTAGAATGCGAAAGACATGACTCTTGTAGATGATGAGAGAGTCTTCTACTCTTATCACCCAAAAATTGTTATCGCCCAAAGGAATAGGGTTTTGGTATTGTGTATGAGAATGATCGTTGTGAGAGCAGGGACATGCCTTTTATATTGACTAGCGTTTCTCTCCATCCGTCCTATTATAGGAAGGAGAAATTTACCAAAGCATAATCCAATCAATCAATGTCCCACAAGGGTTGGTTTGGTATTACTGGGCTTTGAAAAAAAACTGCTTCTGCTGTGATGTGAGAATAAGCAGCAAAATGTTTGGTAAACTTTTTTGTAAAAGTGTTTTTGGAAAGAAAAAAAAAAGCAGTATTATAGTGTTTGGTAAACTTTCATGTAAAACAGCTGTGATTATGTGAAATGATTAAAAAATGTATAATACTAGATGTGTCATTAATTTAATTTTCTTAACAAATAAAGGTGAATTACTAAATATACTTTATTTAAAAAAAATATATTTATAAACTTTATCTTAAACATATAATCCAACGTTTATGAAGAAATCATAATCTAACTATTAAAAAGAAATCATAATCCAACATTCAACATATAATCCAACATTTATAATATCTATTTACAACTATCACTCTTTATCTTTTCTTTTATTATAGAATCATAATTTTTTATTCTATTTTCTTCTTCAAGTTCAGTTCTCCTCTTTTGCAAAACCGTGTTATGCATACTGCTGATTATTTTAAAGTACCCCAATTCTGTTTTGTATTAGAAATTTGTAACGAGTTCCATTTGTGCGTATTTTCCTATTCTTTTAGTTTGTGACTTATTGAATCTATTGCATACAAAGAATTGAAAGGATGAAGAGGCGCATTCCCTTCGAGGGCGAGGAGGGATTAAATGAACTCGAGAGGGCTGCTGTAATGCTTGAGTAAAAGATATATGTTGGTGCCTCAAATGAGGTACTTCAAGAACTCTTGGAGTTCAAATCTTTTTATGTTGCATTGCAATTTGCATATGTCATTACTGACATAGATGTTTTATTTTCAACTTTTTTGTATTGTGGATACTCGATAGAGTTGTAACCTAGATTGTGTCGGGATCTCTTTTTCCAGTCGGATTATTTACGGAAAATTTCTCTCAAGATGCTCACCATAGAGACTAAATCTCAGACCGCAATCTTCCTCGCAGGTCTTGATGCAGGTATGAACACCAACTTTTGTTTCAAGTTTATACGCATTAGATTCTTTTCTGAGTAGTGAGTACTCAGTTAATCCAGTTCTAAGGTTAACTTATAGTTCACTTCTTTTGAATGGGTTTGGTTGGTCAGCTTTGATGGATGACAATAATCAGAGACCTCCTGAAGGTGGAGAACCTTCAATGGAGGCAGGTTACTGGAGAAGCCAATTGCAGCTAGATTCACGACGCAGAATTATCGCCAAGATGTAAGTATTGTTAGAAGAAGAAAGAGAACCTAGAAATCTTGGAGTATTAATTCTTTGTACTCCTGGAGAGATACTGAAAGTACAATACAAGAGGTACCAAACCGTGTTATATATCCGGCTTATTGTCAGATATTTTGTGCCCCCTAGTTTTATATTTCACTACAAACATATAACTAGTTACAGTTGTACATATTTTCCAATATTTTCGTTTGGAACAATTTGGTCGAGTCCTTTATTCTGATTCAAGTTTTTGTTTGTTAATCATGGTCAGTAACTGACTGAATATATTGCTTATTTGCATATACAGAACTGATACTTTAAAGGGGCACTTTCCCTTCAGTGGGTTTGAGGGATCACGTGAACTCGAGATGATTGCTGTTAGATTCGAGCAAAAGATATATGCTATTGCCTCAAGCCAGGTACTTCCACAACTCATGGAATCCAAATCTATTTTTGTGGCCTTGCAATATTGCAGATGTTAATACTTACATAGATGCTTATTTTTTAACTTTATTTGTAATGTGGATACTCGATAGAGTTGTAATCTAGTTTGTGTGGGGATCCCTTTTTCCTGTCGGATTATTTACGGAAAATTTCTCTCAAGATGCTCGCCATGGAGGCCAAAAATCAGACCGCAGCGTCCGCAACACCCCCTTGAACCTGAAACGGTATCGTGTCTTTGCTTGACTTCCGTAGGTACCCATTTTTTAAAATTGGTCCCCTAGAAAATGCAACTAATATGAAAAAAAAAAACAAAACTTCAGATTTCAGAGTTTCAGATTCATGCCTTTAAGTAAGAAGACTTCAATATACAAATCGATGCCTAATTCATTAGTAACATCGTATTTTCATTTCCCCGGTGTCTATCTAGTGTAGTCTAAAATCAAATTTTTGGTAGTGTCTTAATGTTTGATATTGTCCTTAAATGTGTATTTCGCATTAATATTTGAGAAAGCAAGTATTTGATTCTAATAATCGAGAAGAACAAATCATTGCTCAAGTCTTGTGTGATACTACTAAGCGACTACCCTATGTTTATTTAAGTTGGATCCGGGGTTTGTGTGAGCATTTGTGGGGAAGTTGCAGCCCTCTGCAGAATGTCTGTTTACATAACGCTAAACCTGCAAAAGTTACAGGACGGTTTGAGCAAGCATCTCTCGAAGCAAAGCTTACTGCCGTCAAAATCCATAGCTACCGACAAAGAAAGTGTAGAATCAGAAGTAGAGGGTACTACAACTGTTGTCTGAAGACTGAGCACCAAGCAGCAGGCTAACAAAACCATTTCTGTGTGTTTGAGAGAGAGAGAGGATACCGCAACAGTTGTCTAAACTCAAAACCGAAAGGACCCTTTTTAACCCTTTTTTGTGTGTTTGAGAGGAGAGAGATATGGCAGAAGAGACTAAGGGGTGGTTTGGGAATGAGGTGTTTAAAAAAAAAACATCCATGAAAAAAAGCTGTGAGGGTTTTAGGTGTTTGGTAAACTAAACAAAAAAGCTTGCTTTGGAAGCTGCTGTGAGAATAAGCTGAAATCAAAGGAAAAGCTGAAGCAGCTATTTGCAGCTTTGAAAAATTGGCTTTTTTTCAAAGCACACGGAGCTACAGTGCTCATTTAATGAAAAGACCCACTATCAGACTATTTTTTTTTCAAAAGCACTCTTACAAAAAAATAAGCCAAACACTCTGCTGATTTATTTCACAGCCGATTATTCTCACAGTACAGCCGCTTATTCTCACATCAGCTTTTTTTCAAAGCACAGCAATACCAAACCAATCCTAAGTACAGTTTTAGATTTAATTAACCAAAACATCATATTATAAATCAATGAGCATGATCAAACACTTTTTAAATTTGGGGGAGTGGAGCTAAAATAAAGGAGCATGATCAAACACTTCCACGAACACTAACTTGAGCGGCATAGTGTTTTAATGCAGGTCCTCCTCATTGATGACAAGCGAAAGATGGTGTCTAAAGCTTCACAGCGTGTTCAAGATTACTTATTGATGTCAAGATTTCGAATATGGTCAGCGGTCCACTACTAGTCACATTGATATTGTCTCAAATTTAACCACCTTGTGCAAACAGGCAGTGATTATTAGGAGTAGAAACATTCATTTACAAGTAGTATTTTATTCTGTTAAGTTTTCAGTGTGGGACTTACACTCTTCAACAACTGATGACTGTGATCACTTTGAAACATGAGTTCACCAGCATAGATATGCAGTTGTCGAATGAAAACAAAACAGAGAATCTAAATCTCTGAAGTAGACCAATTACATGCTATAACTGAACATTATATCCTAATCATAATAGTCTGATATCAGAAAGGAAAAATTGGTAAATCCTCTTAGTTTTACTATTAACATCTTTTAAGGAATTACTGAGTTTGAAAGCTAATTACTCATTTCCCACTAGCAGAATTTTATATTTACACGCAGATTAGGCCAGATATCAGATTCCCAGCTTATTTACTCGGCTGGGAAGGCTGAGTCATTGGAGGATGAAAGTGGACTATATCCAATACGAAGTGGTAGAATTGAACCCATATCTAAACGCCTCTAAATTATTTTGTAGAAAGTATAGGCAAATAGTCTTCACCGGCATAAATACTAATGTTGTTTAAACAACTCCATACGATTTGACATTGAGAATGGTGAAATTTAGTCACTAGGGTTAGTCCAGTTGTGTGAACGGGTTAAGTGATAGATATGAATAGGCTATATCCAACTTGGAAACCTCCGATATAACTAAATAATAGAGAACGAATGGATTTGAATTATTCCACAAATGTGTTCATCAAGCACTAAGAAAAAAAACAACAAAATGTGAGTCACCATGCACCAACCCCAAAAAAATAGGGTAGATTATATTCACACCCCACCCCACTTTCTTTTTTATGCACCTTTCTTTGAGTTAAACTTGGGGTAAATTACACTTTACCACCTCATGTTTGAGGTTTATTACAATCGCATACATTTTCAAAACATTTTAGTTTTATATCTCATCTACTATTTTATTTCAATATAACACATCCGTTACATTTTTCATCCATGAATCCGTTAAGATCTGCTATGTTGCCAAATTTGTACCACATGGCAAAAGAATAATTTTTTTATTCATTTAAAAATAATTAATTAAAGAAAAGTAAAAAAATAAAATAAAATAAAAACCAGAACCCATCCTCTTCCCCCACCCCCTTCCCTGCAACCTAAACCCCCCATCCCACCCCACGCCCACCTCCCCCGCAACCCCCCCAACCCACCCAAAAACCCATCTTCTTCCCCACGTTTTTTATGATGGGCATGGTAGATTGGCACTGCTGGGTTCCTCGGAGGGCTTGAAGGGCGTTGCACGGCGGAGCACCGGTGCTTCAGCAATGGAGGGCACGACAGGTGCTGGCAGTGGGAAAGCAGCGGCCGCAGGTTCGATGGGCTTGGGTTCCAGCTCGTTACAGTCGAAGGAGGTTAAGGCTCTCCTGGAGACGCGAGCTATTATAACAGAAACCAATTGAAAGTCACCTTCTTGGTGTGATCCTGCTGCATTTCT